CCACCGGCTATTCGTTTCCGCATTGGCTGACTTGCTAGAGGGTGAAAGCAAGTGCTGCACAATCGCTTCCTGAGTCCCGTTAAAGTGCGATTGTGACAGTTGGTATCAGAGCCTAGTTGGCTCCTCGAGTTGGAAAATAGTAACCATGTCCGCGACAAAGTAGTTGGGCAAGTCCCACGTCGACAGACTCGTCGAGATCGAAGAACAGCTGTTGTTCTTGAGGGAAATCCCTGAAAACCTTAGATATGTGGAATCTCGGCTGGATTAGATCTCCACCAAAGCTGACGGAATTGACGTCGTGAATGCCCGCATAGACAGGCTTGCTATACGTGAGTTAATGCTTCGGGTTGAGACCCTTGAAGACAAGGTTAAGCGTACTGATAACCTTAAGCGTGGCGAAAGCTCATCGAGCTCAATCGCCCACATGGAGGAGCGTGTCAAAGAAATAGACATCTCCCAAAAGACTATTGTGCAGATGGTCAGTGAGCTGACCGACGACTTCAAATCCACCATCGACGAAATGAGGGCGGAGATTGCCGAATTAGGCACCAAAGTAAATCTCACCATGAGAGCGGTGGGAAACCAGGCCCCAGCTGGGGGACCGATTCAGTTCAACAAGGTGAAAGTTCCCAAACCCAAGCCCTTCTGTGGGGCGCGAGATGCTAAAGCTCTTGAGAACTTCATCTTCGACCTTGAGCAGTACTTCAAGGCGACAAGCACGGTGACAGAGGACTCGAAAGTCACACTAGCCACAATGCATCTTGCTGACGATGCGAAGTTGTAGTGGAGAGTGAGATACGTAGATGTACAAGAGGGCAAATGTACCATCGACACGTGGGAAAAACTAAATCAGGAACTCAGATCCCAATTTTTCCCGGAGAATGTAGAGATCCTTGCTCGTCGTAAACTGCGTAAATTACGACACACAGAAAATATTCGAGACTACGTAAAGCAGTTTTCAGGGTTGATGTTGGATATCTGCGATATGTCCGAGAAAGACAAGGTCTTCGCCTTCATGGAGGGCTTGAAACCATGGGCCCAGGCCAAACTGTATGAGTAGAAGGTACAAGATATCCCTACTGCTTACGCAACAGCCGAACAACTGTTCGATCTTAGCAACGATACATCACAAGAGTAGAGGAAGACCCAAGCTTCTTCCAGTAGTAGAAACAGACCCGTTAGATCGGGGTCCCCTAAAAATGGGGGAGCTGACAGAAATGGAAGAGGAACCCGCAGACCCTTCCAGCAGAGAAGGGGAAATACATGGAGAGGGCCGAACCCACCAAACAATAACAATCGGACATGACCATCCTGCTTCATTTGTAAGGGACCACACAGAGTATACGAGTGTCCGAATCGAGCTGCTCTCCGGGCCTTCCAAGCCACACTGACGAACGACCGAGCGATCGAATCGGAAGGCCCCGAAACAGATACTCCTCCTGAAGACGCCGATGACAACCCCCGTATGGGAGCACTCAAATTCTTATCGGCGCTTCAGAAGAAAGCCGAGGAAGTGAAGGAACCCCTGGAACGTGGTCTGATGTATGTGGAAGCATGGGTCAATCAGAAAGCCGCAAAAAGCACTATGGTAGATTCTGGTGCCACCCACAATTTCATGACGGAAACCAAAGCATGTCGGCTGAACTTGCGATGGGATAAAGACCCAAGAAAGATGAAAGCGGTCAACTCGGCTGCCCTCCCCATTATGGGAGTTGCAAAAAGAGTCTCAGTAAAGCTAGGGACATGGAGTGGACTGGTTGACTATATGATAGTGCGGATGGACGACTTCGACGTAGTATTGGGGATGGAATTTCTGCTGGAACACAAAGTCATCCCCATGCCCCTTACTAAGTGTCTGGTTGTAACGAGTTCCGATCCCACAGTTGTTCAGACAAGCATCAAACAACCAAGCGAAGTGAAGATGATATCAGCACTCCAGCTAAAGAAAGGTCTCGCCCGTGACAAGCCGACCTTCATGGCCATTCCTGTTGCAGAAGGCGGAAATTCTGAAGAGCCAGTTCCCAGAGAAATCCAGCGAGTCTTGGAGGCGTATGCCGATGTAATGCCAGACAACCTGCCCAAAAATCTACCTCCAAGACGGGGGATAGACCATGAGATTGAATTGTTACCGGGGGCAAAACCGCCCGCCAAGAATGCCTATCGGATGGCTCCTCCCGAGCTAGCCGAACTGAGGAAAAAACTTGATGAACTAYTGAATGCTGGATTCATCCGCCCGGCT